ATTATGTTGCCAAAATTTTCACATCTTTTAATCGGAATTTTTGCTTTAGTCTTCATACGCATTTAATAAATTTTCGTACTTCATAAAATCATAATCTGTACTCTTAAAACAAAAAACAAGAGCTTAACTGATCTTAAGATTTCGTTAAATAATTTTCCGCCAAAGTCACATAAATACCGTATCGAAATAGTAAGATTCTTAAATTTTACTCAAAATATCGCATATTCAGATATAAAGCATATATCAATTAAATAATTTCGAATCTAAGATAAATATCTATTAATTTCAATTTGCATAATTATTTAAAATCTATCGATATAAAATTGGTTTGCACAGTATTTCTTAATGTTGTTCTGATGAATTCGCATTCGTTACTTTCTGTTTTATATACGTATAAGTAATATGGGAAAGAAAACGGTTTACCATACAAGCAGAATTGGCAATTTGCTCCCATGTAGATTTGAATTTACAGCAGAATATGGTAAATGGGAAATACATGCAAATAAAAGCTTAGTATTATCAATTTATGAAAGTGAATTGTGCTAACACAGCATCCGCGTGAATATCTCCTTAGCAATGATCGAAGTTTGTACAAAAATTTTGTAATATTACGTATTACAGATTCTCCATATCATAGAAGAATGCTTTTTATTATAAGTGTACAGGCGGAAATGAAATTTTCAAGTTTTTATTATGTATACTAAAAAAAAAAAAAAAGAAGATATTTTATTCAATGACTGAATGTACACCATTCGTGATACATATATTATATTTTAATTTTTTTATACTTTTCTCTTTCCCTAATTTTTTGATAAATTCGTTAAATTCTACTTCAGTAAGTCTTTTCTTTTTTGAAGGAAAGCACATAACTTCCTCTTTCGCTCCTTTTTCTTTTTATCATCTTTTGCCATCCTCTTCATCCATTTTTTCATGAATTCCAAGATGTTTTTCCAATAAATTCTCTTACTTCATCTATGCCAAATATATTCCAATCTCGGGGAGAAATTGAATTATAATTCCATTCAAGGTGCCTTCGATAGTGTTGGTGTGGGTACCTGTGTAAATAGATTGGCTGTCTTTTGATTGTTTGTGCCAATATTTTGTTCCAAACAAGAGAATCTTTTCAGGTTTAACTTCCATCAAAAAATATTTATCCATATTAAACCGATAATCGCTTAATTAATGTAAAAAGCTATTCTAATAAAAAAAAACCTATTCTAAAAAAAAAAAAAAAAATCAAATTTTTTAACGTTTTAATACTAAGCTTATAATCTAGCCAGTTAACTTCTTCATAATGAAACTTAAATTTATAGACTTGCTTATTGTCTACATATAAATATAATAATAGAATATTATTAATATTTAATTATATGAAAAGAAGATACAAAGGACGATTATGAAAATTAGTTAAATATTTACTTGGCATATGTTTTTAGCTTGAATTAGTGATTGATCAAATTTATATTCAATATTCAATATTTTTATTTTATTCTGCTTTTCAATTAGCTTTAAAAAGATATATCAAGTTAATATTTTATTAGTATACATATATAGCTTATTTATTTAAAAAATTTACAAAACCTTGAGTTGATATATATTATCTTTTAGTACTTTCCAAATACTTGTTTGGTTTGAATAAGTGTTTATACGATGAAAATTTTACACTTAGATACTAGATGAGAGTTCTTTTTCTTCTCGCTAGATAATATATTTTGTTGATTGTTGGTAATTTTTTTTATTATATCTAATTATTATTAGGAAAATATTTGTTATATATAGAAAAGTTATTTTTCAATTTCACTAATATAATTTTATTTTTTGATTACTCACAATCTTAATAAATGCAGTATCAAAAGCAAATTTCAAATAACCAATAGTTTACAGTTTCGATAAAATGAAAGAATAGTTATTATTATTATTTAGTATAACAATATAATATATAATATAATCAACAAACCTATAATATTTCATAACGATAATATATCTTGGATTAATATCTAACTTTATTTAAAGCTGGCATAATTTTGGAGTTTTAATTCCATTAAATTAGGAGTTTTAATTCTACTAGAATTTAGGAATTTTAATTCCACTAGATTATTAATATTTTGATTATAGAAATCTATTAATTCTTTCGACACTTGTTTTTTTTGAGCTATATATTATATAATTTATTAAAGATTAATAACTTGAATAATGCTTTTATTTTTAATAAGTAAGCAAATACTCACAGCATGTCGATATGAATTGAATTAATTATTTTTAGAATCAATTGGTAAAAAGATTATGTTGAATCCAAGTAGTGACAAATTTCATTATAACCAGCTCTTTTTTCTAATTTGATAATTTTATCTTTTATTTAAATTTCAAAAGGATAAAAAATAATCTATAAGCAATAATCTATAGTTTAAGGTAAAAATAAAAATAAAAGCAGTATAACTACCTATAATTCTAACGAGTTTGTATAATTTCTTGGCTTCCATTAATTGAGTTTTTTTGGCATTATTTTGAAGAGTTGAAAGTAATGTGGCTTTACTTCTTTTTTTTTTTTTTGTTGAAAATCTGGCATCGTAGAGAAAAATTATAGCAACGTACTTCAAGTTAGAAAATGTTGAGAATGAGTGAGATTAAAATCAAGTTTTTTAGATATTGATATTTTTTTCAATTTAACAATGAAATTCAAGTTATATTTACTCTATGCCATGGATACTTTCTACATGTCGCACTGAAAAATTAATTTTTTATACACGATTAAAAAAAAAAAAAAACGGATAACGGTAATTTATTAATCTTTTATTTTGCGTTACATTTGATCTTGAAACCTGATTTGCTAGTGAAATTTCAGAACAATAATTGATATATGAAAGTTAATCAAATATAGTTAATATCCAAAAAAAAAAAAAAAAGAAATTATTATTCACACGGAGGATTTTAGCTTTTACAGTAGTTGAGGTTCACTTATCCACGCCATTTACAATTAACTTCACGTCGCAACAAATCAGAATAGTCAAAAATCACAGATGATTTGATAACATTCTTGATTTATGAGTAATGTAATAAGTTTTGTGCAAGGCGTTAATTCCAACCAATTATACAAAAACATTAGGTAATTTAGATTGATGAAAATGTGTAGCGATAAAACGCGATAATTTTATAAGAAAAAGAAAATTTTACGGATACAGTAGAGTCAGGTACGTACGTACATACGTACATTAATTCTTATTTGTTTATCTAAATTGTAAGTCGGCATACATACTTAGAAATGATAAGCTCTTAATTCATATATATTTATAATCTAATTACGCGAAACTGTATTATTGAGAAAGAAAGGTATTGTAAAGAAAGATAAGTGCACATATAATACAGGTATTTCATGTAAAGCATCATTGGTGTACCGAAATACTTAATATAATCCTTTCGCGTCTTTATAGGTAGCTTCTCTAATTTTACCAATTTTATTGGAAATGGTAGTAAGACAAATGATATGAACGTAATGTTGGGGTGTTCAGTGTGCTATGTATATCACAATCAATAGTAAAATACTATCATTATCAGTAGGGATGTTAAGTAGTCAGACTATTTTAGTTTTTACAGTACAATTTATATGTAACCAGCTAGTTCGACTAGGTTGGTTACATATAAATTGTACTGTAAAAACTAAAATAGTCTGACCCTAGTTATCAGCTATTAATTTTTTTTAAAAAATTATTATTTACGTTAATAAAACTAAATATTACATTTTGATATTAAGGTTTTTCTATTCCTTTTTGACTATTGAAAATCCTTTGGGAAAAAATTTATTTTAAACTATACACCATTTTATATTAGTCCTAATCGACGTAATTTGGCAAATAATCTGTTGGATTCTGAATATCAGATCGAACGACCAACCTTGATAAAAATTAACCGACAACTAGCACATGATCATGTAGCGGCTCCGCCGCCGTTGTAGTTGATCGTATGCATGTCATATGATGTAGATGGCATAGCGGGCTTGTGCTCTGATTGGATATAATATCGGAATGTTGCATTGATATCTTTACATATTAGAGCGCTCCCTAGTCAATTTTGTAGACCATGAAAATGAATTGTAGAAAGTTGTGACTAAAAAAATATTTAAGTATATGTTTTGTTTTACAAACTATTAAAGTAATTCGATAATTTATGAAGTAATTCAAAAGTTAAATGAGGGTATATCCAAGTGTTTGGGTTTAGTTTATAAGTGCAATAAATCGATTAAACTTGGTAATTCATTTTCTCTTCTATTTGCGAAAATTTATTATTCGTAATCTCAATTAATAAAGGAACTTAACTATTATATAGGTTAATAATATGAAGTTATGAGTTATAAGGTTTATAAATTTCATGAGGAGGGTTAAAGAAATTAAAATGAAGTAGTGGTACTGTAACTATATAACGATTATTAAAATCAAATTAAAGGCCAATCTGATATTGGAGATGCATTAAATTTTTTTTATAATTGTTTTATTAGTAATTAACTTTCTTGAATAGGTTTAAACATTTATTTTTTGTAGTTTTCTTTTTTGTTTCGTTGTTTTTTTTTCGATTAGTAGTATGTTACCTTGAAAAAAACGACTAATAAAATAAATAAGTATAACACAGTTAATGATTATAAAAATCTTAAGTTTATTATAGACTTCATCGCGAAGATGAGAATTTTCAAGGCTAAAGAATTCTTTGATAGGAATTCCATAAGTTGTGTTGTAAGAATTGTTCGGCATTTTTGTTATTACTGTATCAAATTTTATCAATAGTTTGAATTTATCGGGAAATTTTTATCTTAGTCTTTAAATAAAATTATACTCCAATTAATTTTAAAACCCTTTGTTTTACAACTAGAGATGTGATCCCGTTATCTTTTGGGCATTTTAATTAATAGATATCAATTTAAATATTAAAAGGATAACAATGCACAAGGCATAATACAAAAATAAAAACCGGATTTTCAAGCAAATAAATGAAAGAAAATCGTAATTTAGCAAAGGCGGCATCCATAATTTACGTTAAACCAGTATTGTTATAGAAATCTTAAAGATAATATAAAAATAATACTATATGGTATTATCATCAAGATTTCTATTTCTATAAGTACTGATTTAACGTAAATTATGTATGCCGCCAAATCAACAACCCTAATAAAAAGATAAATTTACATTCAAATTTATACTTAGACTCGTATCTAGAGATGTGATCCTTATCCGAAAAATTATGGAAATCCGGATTTTTTTATAATAATTTTATTATAATCATATCTAAAATTAATAAATTTATTAAAATAACCTTTTTAAATAAATCACATGATAATGTGCAAACACATTAATGCCGCAACAAAATTTCATAGCAGATTCTCGATTTTTATTGGCTAAGAGCGAAATGCCCCTAAGAAAGAACTTTATTTTTTGGATTTTATAATAATTGAGGAACATTACAGTGATGTCATTTTTTCTATATGGAATTAAGAAGGGTCTGAAAAATTCTGAATAGAAAATGAACGAACATAAAAGACGAGCAAGTCAGGCCATAATTTTCAGGTGTAATGCAAATTTGTTATTTACTTTAAAAAATCATTTATAATCCAAAATTTTGTCTATGACCCCCTCTCTCTTTCTTTTGAGAAAGGATGTAAGTAAACCACCGAATAGATATGTGACCTGTTCAATCTTTATGCCTCAAATTAAACATAATTTGGGCCGGAAAGTTTGAATGGGTCACATATCTACCACCGAATCAAGTTGGTCTCGCTTAATGCACATAAAAAATGTCATGAGCTTACGTAGGAAACAATGGATAATATTTATTTAATTTTTTTTTTAATTATATAAATTATTTATACATCAGTTGTGCTGAATGTTTAAAATATTCTATAAATTAGCCATTAGCAGATTAGTCACATGCCTTATTTCAGTATACGTGACATATAAATCAATATCAAGTAGGTGCTGCGAATGGAGCCAATGTATACTAATTGTTTGAGCTTCATTTACGTATTCATTGACTCCATTGCTAACCCTGCAAGTAGGTCATATATATATTGTTCATCTGCAGAATTATGGTAATTTGATTTGATATATTGTATGAATGAAGTAAGTGTTTGTGGGGAAGGTAGAGATTGAAGACTATAATAAAGGAGAAATTTGTTA